GAACCAGTAGTTTTGTTCTGAATGTTGTATAAAAATTTTATTCTTTAGGTACTGGCACCGAATCCTCATCATCTGATGAAGAACCAGGACATGATAAATTTATTTTGAATCATGATGAATTTTGCCCGATTGGTCTCATGTTAAATGTACCACGTGGAATCCAGCAGCAACAAGATACTATAACACCAGAGCTGATAGACGAATATAATATAGATATGCCTGTTGTGGTTGAGGTTGAGGAGCAAGATGCGTCTGCTGATATCCACGACAAGGATTCCAAGATTCCAGTTCTGATGATTCATCAGATGATACAGATGTCGATACAGGAAAGAAGATCATTTCACAAAATACAGAGTTGCCAAAATCAAAACGGAACAAGGGAGCAAGACCAGAAACATGGAAGAATAACATCATAAAGAAAAACGCTTACAGGGTTAGGAGCATGGAAGTAGAAGAGGGATTCTTAACAAAGGAAAACAAATAGGAACAAGTTGCCAATCGAAATTAAGTCAGAATTAAGACACTGAAATAAATTTACTGAAGATGGTAGAAATTCAATATGGACATCATTTTACAACATGAAATCTTGGGATGAAAGAAAATCAGTGGTAAAGGCTTTGGTTTCAAGTATAGAAATAAAACAAAGAAAGATGCAGACAAACAAAATATCTTCGATGTTTGAATATTGTCTTCGAAAACAGATGTTCTGCTCAACGCTAGGTATGGCTTCCATTACCGATTGGCTGACATGTAATACTGCTAAAGTGGATGCTGCTGATTCTGCGAAAGAAATAACGAAATATCCAAATGAGAAACACTGGATAACAAAGGAAATGTCTGAAGAAGCCGTCACTTTCGTAAAAGTTTGGTTACTGAATGCCCCTTGTGTTGAAACACATTACTGTCGCAAGGTGCCAGCATACAAAGAGAAGCGTTTTCTGGAACCAGGCACAAAGGTCATTAACTTATTCGAAAGATATCAGCATGATGCCAACGAGGCTTCCAAGAGAGCTGTTGGTTTTACCTATTTTAAGAAGAGTTTTGCTGATTTAAAAATGTCTATTTTTATGCCAAGGAAAGATGTGATCCATGCATAGGTGGTAAATTGGGAACTATTTCAGCTGAACAACACCGAAGGCACACATCATCCAAAGATGAAGCCAGAAAAAGAAAATCAGATGACAAGAAAGTTGGTAAGCAAAGCCTCAATGTATAAGTATGCTCGGACAATACTATTCATTATAGATTATTCCTCTGACATTGATGAAGTGTGGAAACCATTGACTTTTAGAATTATAGCAATTGATCAGGTGGCAAAGTGAGATAGAATTTTTGAAAATATAAGTTGTATTTCCGCCAGAAAATATGATGATCTCCAAGTACTAAAACGGGTCCTTCCACAGATCACTCACCCCTTTTATGACAACTTACCTCATGAATGATCCATGGGCAACAACGAAAACGCAATAGATATTATTGTTATAATTAATTAAATGTGTTATGTTATGGTGAAATTAAAACAAAATGTTGTTATGTTGGAATTAAAACAAAAGATAAATTATCAATTCAATGTTTATCTTAATTTCTGATTTACATCGTGGCAATGAATATATCTGATACATATCATGTGTCATTATATTTAAGCCCGTTCTGTTCTGCTGAAGTCGTTTTTCTGGGTATTACATATCTGATGACAATGCTTATGTTATTGCCCAAGTCATTGATTCAACCAAATTTCACCTATCTCAATTGCTCAAGTCATGAATTTTGGAGAGAAAATTTAATTTTGAACAGTATTTATTTTATCAGTTGACTAAGTGCATATGAAGTTACAAGTTTATGGCTTAAACCGTGTCGCTTTGGTAAAGTTTTTTGCTCTTTTCTTTAAACCAAGAAAATGACTATGTTGTGTTATGACGATGACATATATTTTCTTGACTATTCTATATTCTGACGTACAGAATTTGGTTTTAAAAGCCAATATTCATTCGCATTCGGGCTCGTAATATCGTATGTTTCCAGTTGATTTGAATTTTTTCATTAAATTGTCGTTACTTTTGGCATGACCAATTATTTTTTTACGACAGCGAATTATCATTAATATTGAAACTTGGTCTACTAAATCACTTATGCAGTTATAAGAGATGTAATGCCAAGGCTGCCACATTCAGTATGACAATTCATCGTAACCAATTAATCGTACATAATAATATAAAAAGTGATAACGATGTATATAGGTTCATACTAAACATACTGATGATCGTACTGTTAACGGTAACGAGAGCCTTTTGCAAACTATATCGTTAGTTTTTCTTTGAAGGAAATTCGAATCCTCAGATTTCTGCTTTTTGCGCTGAGAAATTTTGTGCTTTATTCTTACGGAATGTACCTTGATAACTTGTTGGTAGACATTGGGGATTTTGGGTGGTATCAAAAGGTTATTGTCGCCTGCTATCTGTCCACCACTATACCAACTGCCTTTAGCTTAATGGAAATGGCCTTCTCTGGATTTATCCCGGATTTTTGGTGTAAAAACGGTGTGAATAACATAACGAACGACGACAATGGTACTAACCTTAATTCGTGTAGTAACAATATATCGATGTGTGATCGAGAATTCGATATGAGTAAACTGACCATCGTAAATGAGGTAATACTAAATATACATAATGTCTCTTGCAGTTACTACGCAAATATCACAATTATTAAAAAAATGAAATGAAATGAATGGAGTTTTACGTCCTACTCTTCTGCACCGTGTGGGCTAATGAAGACGGGCAACGCCATGCAGGGTGCCATGAGGGAAATTTTTCACAGGACAGCGGCATTAGCCTGCTCTTTTTCGATTTTCAACTGTCGAGGGATCTTTAACGTGCACAGCCTGTAGCACACGGGGCCTCGGTTTATTGTCCCATCCGAACGACTAAACGCTTTTTCCATGTCAGCCCCTCTTACCTGCATCACTGACAGGGGGAAACCGGGTCACAATTATTAAAGTGAAGGGTGTTACGATTGATTGATCAAATTCCCTTTCACATAATTGTGCAATATAAAAATTTCAAGAAAATTGGAATTGAAAAAAATTGTTTTTCCTTCTTGGAAGACATGACATGGCATTGCTCGTGTAATCATGTAATAATATAACATGGATTATCTTATTCTTTCCTTTTTTGATTTCAGTGGGATCTGGTTTGTGAGAATCGATGGATCAGTTTCACAATAACAACCGTCCAGATGACAGGTGCCTTAATAGGAGCTTTTGGAATTGGTTACGCTGGCGATAGATTTGGACGAAGGATCAGTCTCTATACCATTCTATTCCTGCATGGGATCTTTGTAGCTGTCAGTGCCTTTTCTAATTCATGGCAACTGTTTGCTGCTATGCGGTTTGGTATCGGAATGGTTGGTGGTGCAGTTAGCGTAGTCAATTTTATAGCTGCCGTTGAGTTTGTTGGCAAGGGATGGAGAGCTTTGTTAGGTGCTATTCCTGTGTGGTCCGGAGCTGCTCCATGTTTAGCCCTGATAGCTTACCTGTTTCCAAATTGGCGGCATCTTGAATTCTTCATTTTTGCTCTAAACACCTTAGTGTTGCTTGGATTTTTGTAAGAATCTTCAGTTTCAACAACGCCTTCAAATCACATTTAAGACCATTTTTAAACCTTTCATTGTGATTTGAAGGCTTTGTTGAAATATTATATTCTTTTAAAAAATTTGACTACGTTTATGTGTTTAAGAACCATGTGTTGTTTCGTATTACATATACTGTCGTGATTCGTGCTATGTCACCTGAAGCTAGCTTTCCAGCATCAAAAGTGTTACAACTGTCAATCCACAGCATGTGCCTAGTGACTGTGCCATGTTTACTGAGCAGCATTTCTGCTTAGAAAATCAGTAAATGCCAATTATGTTATTTTTTCAGCATTGTTCCAGAAAGTATACGTTGGTTAACTGTTAAAGGGAGGATTGAAGAAGCGTCTGCAATAGCTTGTCTTATTGCCGAAAGAAGCAAAAAGCCACCACCTGACACAGCAGTGATACAAAAAATTGCCGAAGAAGAGCAATCACGCAATAGATATTTTTCCAGTTATAGTTTCATAGATTTAGTGCGTGGTAAAAGAATAAGACTGATAACCTTAAGGGTATGGTATACGTGGTAAGTATTCTTTATACACAGAATGACAAAAATTCTTTTAGGAACAAAAACTCATTATATTTTACCTAATTCCTCGGAATAAAATTGAAAAAAAGAGTATTGCTATGATGATGGCCAAGAATTGTCATACAAGGTAGCATACCCCAACTGGCAGTTAAATATTTAGCCATACATTTCTTTTAGAACTCTTTCTTCAAGATTTTCTTAAATTTTCAATAGAGTTTAGCCTTGAGTGGTGATGACAAGTTTTGTCAAAATCCATCAAGAATTGTGTCTTCAAGAGTGTTTACTAGCTAAAAATCGGTTAATTTTGTTTTTTTTTTATTCTGTACCCTAAAGCGAAGATGTATTATGTATATAAAAATAAATCAAGTTACGTATATCCACATGGGGAAAGTTTGGAATATTGTATTACAGGTTTGCTTCCGCATTAGTATACTGGTCTTTAGTATTTGGTGTTCAGAATATGTCTGGTAATTTTTATCTCAACTTTTTCTTGGTATCGGTCATCGAGATTCCTGCCTCATTGATTATTTTATTATGGATTGACAGGTAAACACATTCACTTTCACTTTCTATACACATAGGACACCTATGCTTGGCTGTCGTTTGGTCGGTTCATCCGTCCTTTTTACATTTCCTCAAAAACGCTTTTAAATCTATGAGTTTTTAACCGATGTTGAAAAGATAGCTTGCCCGGCAAGGTATTATACGCCCACTGCCAGCTTTGATTTTAAATAAAAATATTCTGCAGTACAGTAACAATCACTAGTATGAAATATTCAACATTCAGTCATACATTTCTTTTGAACTTTTTGAAGCGATACTGAATAATAATACAAAGTTTCATCAAAATCTGTCAAGAGTGTTTACATGCTTAAAATTTTCAAGATCAAGGGCAAAAACTTAATATTTTTCGATTTTTCTGATTTTCAAAAGTATTCATCCTTGGGTGATTACAAACACTACACCAAGTTTCGTCAAAATCCGCCAAAAATTGTGCCTTGTAGAGTGTTTCCAACAACTTATACTAGATATTTTTCGATTTTTCTGATTTTCGATGGGGATCATCCTTGAATAATAACAAACATTGACACCAAGTTTCGTCCAAAATTGCCAAGAATTAAACCTTCTAGAGTGTTTACAAGCTAAAACTGAATCATATAAAAAAACACATATCGAAATCCATTTGCCTATTTCTAGAAAGAATTTTGGAAGAAGGCGATCGATCGTCTTAGCGAATTCATTAACAGCATTCAGTGCACTTGGGGCAGCAATAGCCACCTTAACAGGTATGAAGCTATTTTTTATAACTTTAAAATACACAAACCCAGGCGATTTCATCATTCATTATTCTAGAAAAGTAAAAAAAATCCTATTGCAATAGTTGATCTATTCGAATTATCAAATCATTGTAATAAAATATCTTAGGGCCTTTGTGTTAACTACGTCATAAAACGCTTAGTTTTTTCAGTGTCGTTTCAAAACGTCTGAATGAACTTTGAATGGTGCAAATCTATGCTTTACTTATCCCCGATACACATATGAATCTTATATTTTAGCACCAGAAAGTTCAAAGGCCTATTATGTCAATATATGTGTATTGATTGCTAAGTTTTGTGTAACAAGTGGTTGGTCTAGTATGTCTCCATTCACCACCGAATTATACCCAACTGTAATAAGGTAAGAAAAGACTGTTTTGATTACATGATAATATAGGCCCATTAAAATTATTAACATTCTGCACTGAATGCACCTTTGTCCCAGCGTTGGAGAGAGCAGGGTTTTGAATGGCTAGAGGTGTTATCAAACATACGAATGTTCAAGAAAATCGTCTTTAGACCCCAACTTAAGTAGCTATATGAAAAATAAAAGGTCATAAAATAAAAAGGTCATAAAATAAAAAGGTCATTCAATTTTAAATAGACTGGGATAAAGCAATATTTGTATTATTTTTATATGTAAAGTTGTCTTTAATGGAAACGGTTGCTTTATATCTTCGTTCGTTCAGAAGTTTCCTGGGCATTAAATGTTTTTCCATTTTATGAGTTGGCGTTAATTGTCTTTCATTCTAATCAACAAAATACTGTGATTAAGACAGTTTTATCTTTTTAAATGGTCCTGTAAAAGTGTAGCCAAAGTAATCCATTTTGTAACAACATGGTGGGTTATTTCAGAATTTTGGGATATGGTAGTGCTGGCACTGTAGCTAAAGTTGGTGGTATTTTTGCTACTCAAGTAGTTGCATTAGTAAGTAAACACTTCAGAGACAGAAAAAATAGCTAATATTGTGAAGATAGGTGAACACAGCAACTAGCTACAGGTTGTCTGATTCTGGCATTGATAAGTATTTTAGTTCATATCTTATGATGAATCGAAATTGTTCTTTGTTTTATAGCAAAAACAAGTACTGATGCATGAACTGCTATTTCCACTGAATTGTGCTTTGCACACATGCTAGATAATTACAAATCAACATAGAAAGCCAACCGAAACATTTTAAAAATATATTCCAGGCTGTAAAGGAAGGTTATTTACTATACGTTATTATTTGTGTGTTGATGATAATAGATACTGCTTCAATACTCACACTACCAGAAACACGGGGCGAGGCATTACCTGATACTCTGTTTGAAATTACCAAACACAGAGACACACAAGATAAATGTTCAGTCGAAAGTGGAGATGAGCAAAATAAAACTGTCTTGCTTTGAAAATCCAATGGAAAGTTATAAATGGAACGCAGGTCAATTTATGTTATTAAATTTAGAAAATCAGACTAGACTTTTAGCAGGTTTGTTTCTACAATTCAAGGAACAATTGTCCCTTTCCTGCCACAATTTACTTCATCGTTACTTAATCATCTCTTTTAGCCAAAGAGTGTGTGAAAAGCGAATATCAGCATACTTTTAACAAAACATAACCATTATACCTCTATGTCACCAAGAATTGTTTTTTTTTTTCAATCAACCCGATCTGGTTCCCGATGACATTTCTACGATTGTCGCCTTGAATCGCCTCTTCTACCCCCATTTCACCAATCGGTCCGATCTTGTTTCTGATGAAACATTTCTATGGTGGGGTGGATTGTCGTCTTGAATCAAACGTGCTAAAAATTGAACGCGTTTTCATCTTATACTAGATATTTTTCGATTTTTCTGATTTCGATGGGGATCATCCTTGAATAATAGCAAACTTTGACACCAAGTTTCGTCCAAATTTGCCAAGAATTAAACCTTCTAGAGTGTTTACAAGCTAAAATTGAATCATATAAAATTTCACCAAGAATTGTTTTTTTTTTCAATCGACCCGATCTGACTGAAACATTTCTAGTACTGTCGTCTTGAATCTCCTTAATCGTTCCCTTTTTTGACCCGATTGAGTCCATCCCAATGGATCATGGCGGCGGGTCGAACTGGACATTCTAACTTTGCTTATAAGGCCGTTTTTTTCCACGGATTGTTTCGGTCCCGATAGTACCCAATTATATTTTGGTCGATCGGTTGTTCTTAGCTGGAAACCTGCAACCATTACCTTACACCTGCGGGAAAATCTGGCGCGATCGTTTCAGTTCTCCTAGGGTCGGTTACTGAAAAAGTGATAATCTATTGTTTTTAAACATGTTGAAAAACAGTGGCCTATCCAAACTATCGGACCATGGCCGTCTTGGTCGCCTTGTCCAGTCCGTAATATGGCGTTTATCGAATACCGTTTACTTTCGGCTTCCTGTGACTACGTGTACTTTAGGCCACTCTTCCAATCGGAAGCGAGTACCTTCGTATACTTGCGCCCAGTTCGGAGATTTTTCGATATTCGTCCCCAACATGAAACGCTTAGAAGTGTTTTTCAATAATTACTTAGTTTAATAGATATATAGATTCTATTATTCTAGTCAAAGCACCTGTAAGTCCAATTGATGAATATAAACTCTTTAGCAATTGCATGTCCATGCTAAGAGCTGGTATTCCTTTAAATCGAATTGCATTGATAAATAACGTAATATTCACCAATATAGAGAACCTTTCGATAACTTTTGGATAACTTATAGCATACTAACGACCGTGATATACCAATTCCGCTAAATGTCCTGTGGCACCATGGCTAGTAGGCCAGCGTATGTCACCGTTTTATATTTGATGAAAAAGTTTCGTAGAACGGAAAAGTCGTATCATTTTATGCATGCACAAACTCTTTCACGTATAACTGTCTGTGGCTGGGATGTACCACAAACACGGAAAGTAAGTTGTTTTTGACATGAAATGAACTTATCTCCAACAAATATTGACGAATATACACGACCACACAACTTACTGAACATGTCGATATTCCATTATACGGTAAATGCAAGTGAAAAAAACATTTAGTTAGTTACATGGTCGTTCAAAATACGTAAAATATGGCTAGATACGTAGTGTCTGACATCAAAACTTCTGTTTACGATTGACTCTTGTTTTATGACGCTTAAAAGTTTTATCAAGGGAGATAACTACTAGGAAGCATATTCTAATCTGGACACATTTGCCATCTCTTTCCATGTTAAATCGAGAAATTCAACCTTCTTTACACGCGTTGCAAAGACGCTAAAAAAACGTTATAACACAAATTGACCGCGTAACTTGTGGTATGAGGTCGACTGTCTTTATGTTTCTTTGCTTCTTTGTTCCACCCTTTTTTCTTGACCATACCGGGGTTTATTATTGGACGTTGCGTTATGGTTTATCACTCAAGAAATATGATTAATAAAGACAAAATCAAGAAAGCATAATCTTTAATGGAACATGGACATGAGGGACAAATAATGATTTTAAGAGGTTGATTACTAAACAAAATCATATCCAAGTATCTTATACCCCGTCACACGGGAAAGGCGTCCTTATTCAGGTGTTACGGCGGTGGAAAATTGGTTCAGAGCGTCTAAAGGAAATATAAGATATCGTGTAGCTGTCAACATTATCACAATGAACGCCGAGTCAAGGCGTCTGTCTTGTTCGGCTATCTGTACTGTTACGCGTTTGTAACACAATGGAATCGAGAAGGTCAAGCGCCTTGGCATCTCTATGGAAGAAAGAAAAGCGCGATGGGAGCGCCATCAGAGTTACGATGGACGCCCTTACCAATACTCAAAGTTATCAATATAAACACCCTGAGTATCAGTTGTCGTTGGTGCGTCGTTGGAACGTAACATGGTCGTGGAATTTTGGTGATGGGTTTATAATTTGTAATTTTTTAGAAAATTTATCTTTCGTTTTGCCGGCGACCGGGTACTCTTCTAATCACCGTAAGATTGCAAATAGTCGCAATCCGGTGTGACGGGGCTATAAGTTGAGCAATAAGAATCACACTTGCGTTAAAAGAAGATCATATTATACATGATTACTTTATAAGTAAAGTAAACATATTTTAATATTGCGTAGTAAAAGCTGCCTCAACTTTTTTCTATTTTTTCTACTAAAATATTTTAAAGCGAAGTACATTAAAAATAACTAATAAAATTTAGTTGTATAAAAATGTGGCTATATAAATCAGCAAAGCAAGTGATTGCCTCTATCTAGCCAAAACGCTCACACAACATTTTTATTTAATAACGTTTTCGAAGATCTTGAAAATAACATTCGTATGAGTTTTAAAAATCCAAGTGCCAACTCTATCCTGTCCTGTGCTACGACTTGATTAATATTCACTCAAACTCATTAACTATCACAAAAGACGAACAGGTTCGAAGACATTACAAAATAAACTATTTATTTTGCTGGAACGTACAATATAACTATTATATTGCATTAGTTTGGTCTTTATTCAAACAGGATATACATATCCTTTCAGCATAATCTTTTAAAATTGAATTGGTAAATTAAATGTTGTCTTTCAATTTTGAAGATAAACCGTTTTCTTGTGAACCATCATCATTGACGGCGAACTGATATTTCTTTTCATTGTTTTTATTAATGTCAACAAGAGTATCTTGTAAGATTTCACCCCGTGTTTCAGGTAGTGTGAGTATTAAGCACGTATCAATTGCTGTTAAAATACAAATGATGATATATGGCATATAACCTCCCTTTACAGCCTGAAAAATAAAAAGGGAATGAAATAGACTAAGGATACTGAAATCAACAACAGTAACATGTTAAATAGGTTCATATGACTTGGGACATTTGGACAACTGAAAATTTTAATCTTAATTCAAAGCAATTTCGGCAGGCCCGCCGTAGCCAGACTTGATTGTCCGGGGGCGAAAGTAATACATATATTTCTGTGCAGAGGGGCAATCCATTTTTTCGAGAAAATAAAATAGCTGGCCGGCTTGCCACAACCCCCCTCCACCCACACTTCTAATATTTTTAACAATTTACATATTGAAAGTCTACCTTAAACCCTTGTAAATTTACTTTTTGCCCCTGCTCGGCTGCTGTTTCCTAGAAAAGCTACTGTTCCTGGCAAAGTTGCAACATGAAAATAATTGACAGATTTTAACAACCTTAAAAGTATTCAATAATCAGGCTGATGATGTGTATGGTCTAACTTACCAATAACATGACTTGAGAAGCAACAATACCACCAACTCTAGACGCTGTACCTGCACAACCAAAACCTAAATTTCTGTAAGATAATTGAATTCAATCAATATTCATTGTATGTTTAGAGAAGATTATTATTTACATTTGCAGTGTTGTATTGAGAGATAGGCCCTACCATTTTGTGTCATTTATCAGATTAAAATGGCAAATGGAGAGACTGTTATTAACCCCAATTTGGTAATGTTGACCTTGTTTCTATCTTCCTAACGGGAAACATCTTTGGCATTACCCTCAGTGCAATTGTGGCTTTTTAGCTTTGATCTGTAAATGATTTTGCCAAACAGTGGTTCATAGCGTTTTACATTATTCCGTATACTGAACAAGCTATATTACCAATTGAAAGGGTCTTGATTGTATTTTAAACACTAATTGTGAGACTTTCCATTCTACATACCTTATCACAGTCGGATATAATTCAGCAGTAAAAGGCACCATAGCAGACCAAGCCGTTGTTGTAGCAAACTTAGAAATCATAACACAAATATTAACGTAATAGGCCTTGGAACTTTCTGGTGCTAAAAATGTGATAAATTAATTAGCATTTCAATCAATATTATCAGCATGCATAGTATGGATATTAATGATGTCTTTGAAATGTAAATTAGCTTAAATCTATACCTGATAAAATAATGCTATAACGTTTATATAAAAGTAAGTTGAAAAGAACTAGGTTTAAAAATATATCTATTAGTTTATCATGATCTAATATTCAAAACAGCAACAGGTGCTGATTTCATTAACACTGAAAATTTCGCTTTTAATTTCTCCTTAAAAAAGCTTGTAGTGCATTTCGTTTAGCTACTGGAACGATTTTTATTTTTGTCAATATACGTCTCTACCTCATACAATTTTTTGAAGGGGGGGGGGGGGGGGTTGTGGGGGTCGAACGCCTGACCAACGTTTCTCTGATGAAACACATTGCGTAATTATTACGTAATCGCTGATGGAACTTATTACATATTTATTATGTAAATCACTGGCAAAAAAATATATGTTACATACCAGTTAACGTAGCTATGATCGCACCTAGTGCACCAAGAGATGTAACGATATTCCCTGAGGCAACTGACCATCTTCTACCAAAGTTCTTCCTGTAAGTAATGTATAAGCATTAATTTCTATATTATCACTTTTATGTTTTCTTTCTTAAAAATGACTTACCTGGCAATAAAATTATAACTTTGATAATTGGCGAGATTTTAATCAAAATCAGCCCTCAGTACCCCGAATATTTAAAATACAAATTTCAAATATAAAACTTTAGATGTAAATATACACAAAATGAAGATAAAAAACTTCGAAATTATAATAGAGATAACATTCTTATGAAAAATACTTTAGCCGTTTTATATAGTTTTAAACCAATTTTTAAACAACTTGGCATATGATTAACAATGAAAGATAAACTGTGGATTTTTACAGTTTTCTTTTCTTTACAAATATGGATACCTTGACCTCCTATGTTTAATGAAACGCTATTAGTTTCAGCCAATTCTTTTAAAAGCCAGGGACGAAAGTTTATTATCAAAAATGAAGATCAAGTGATAACTTTTACGACCTTATACCCGAGTTCACCCCGGTGACCTCGAATATTGGAAATGCTATACCAATTCACCAAACATTATAAAACGGGTCATGTTAATCAAATAATACTCTTGAACATAAGTCATGCTGATATAGTTTGCAACAACTTAGGTGATTTTAAGAAAATTTGTGCTTTGATAACGTATTCCTAATGCACATGACGTGTATATTTTTACAGGATCTACCGTTTTGTTAAAGAAAAAACATATATACTTATTGATCCATAACAGCACCAACAACGCAGCAGGAATCTCGATGACTGATACTAAGAAAAAGTTGATATAAAAATTACCAGACATATTCTGAACACCAAGTATAAGGCACCAGTAAACTACTACTGATGTAAACCTGCAATTATATTGGAGAATATTTGAAAACATATTACACAACAACTTGAATTCTCCAATCTAAATGGTCTACCTACTGGAAAGTGGTTGTGTTATTGCGCCATACCGTATTATATTATACTTTTTGATTGTATATCTATATACAGTCAAGTAACCTAATTTCGTGCTAACCTATTTCTCGTGCATTTCCGGAAATGATTAATAATTTACATGTGCGACCTCGCGTGACCTCCGCATTTGCTTGTTTTGATAAACATGTGTTATCTCTACAATATCAGCTAGTAGAATGAATCCGGTAGTATCAAGCAAGGTAAAATGTTTTAATCGGCCGAATTTCTTTATAATCCCAAGCGGTAGTCCAACGAATGAAGTCACGTGATCAACTAGCGGATTCCGTGTCAGCAGAAAATTTCTATGGAACACAATGTGGGCCATATTCCTATGTTGTTTCAGTGACTTTTTGGCAATAAATCACGCAACGTACCTTATTTTGTCAGTCAATATTTTTTTTTAAATCGTGGTTCTTTGAAGGAATTGTCACTAGTTATAATGACTTGATATTAAAGATGAATACTAAGAGAAGTTAATTATACCACTGGGTATGCATACAACGTGTTTTTCTCGACCACTTATTTATGGATCAAACATTGTAATAGGTGACGCATTCTGCCGCCGTTGCCGAGTTGGTTGCTCATGAAATATGGGTCAAAGTGAAGGATTCATAAAGAAAATCGAAACAAACCAGTTTTAATTATTTTGTGGAATATCTGAGGAAACATCTAAGAAAAAATTTCGTTTTTTTTAACTTTGGCGAAATTCGGTGTTGAATCCTTATATGCACGAAAATAGGTTACACCACTGTATAATTCATTTTTATGAATTTGGTACTTTGTAACGATAGTGTAATGTTTACACTTACCACGTGTGCCACAATCTTAATGTTATAAGTGCCATTCTTTTTCCACGAAATAAATCTATGAACGAATAGCTGGAAAAATTTCTATTCTGAGATCGTTCTTCTTCGGCAATTCTATCTAAAATCGCTGTATTTGGTGGTGGTTTTTTATTTCTTTTGGCAATGAGACATGCTACTTTAGACGCTTCTTCAATTCTTCCTTTAACAGTTAACCAACGTATACTCTCCGGTGCAATGCTATAACAAATCACCAAATAGTAAATATAGTAATATTTTTATGTAATCATTTTCAATATAGCTTGCCTGGTAGAGTTTTGTGTCTTGAAACACAAGGAGCGTTGTATTTTTGCGATTTGTATCTACCAAGTTGAGAGAGGTACAATGATGATGGGTCACTGTTCAACACCCTGCATACCCTCACATGAAATAGATGTGGAAAAATCTAAAGTGTACTCATTTAAGTTTCCCTGTGAGTATTTAATATTTTGTGTGGCCTCCATCCACCTCTACCATAGCCTGTTTCTTATTTCGAAACACTCGGTACATTTTGGTAAAAGGAAATTACTAAAACTATTTATACTTACAAAAACCCCAGCAAGATTGGGATATTGACGATACAAATGAAATATTCAAAATGACGCCAATTCGGATAGAGATAGGTAATCAATGCTAAAAATGGCGCAGCTGTAGGCCACACTGGAAATGCACCAAGGAGCGCTCTCCATTTTTTACCAACAAACTCCATAGAAGCGGGAAAGGAGACCACAACAGTAGCACCACCAACCATTCCAGTGCCAAATCTCATAGCAGCAAAGAGTTGCCATGAGTTAGAGAAAGCACTAACAGCGATAAATATGAGGTGTAGACATTGGGTAGTGTAGAGACTGATCCTTCGTCCGAATCTATCACTTGAATAACCAACAATAAAGGCTCCTGTTAGGGCACCTGCCATCTGGACTGTTGTTATTGTGAAGCTGATCCATCGATTCTCACATACCAGATCCCACTGAAACGAAAGAATAAATTTCTAGTGCAAAATTGACGTTAACACTATTCTAATTGTATTTGGGTGATGAGAAACAGTTCAGCCTTCATGTATACATGCCTCTAAACACAACAAATGCATTTTCAAGCACATTTCCGAAAACGGAATATGAACTGAAAGTAGACAGGCATTTACTTTTAATATCCATAATTGTTTTTGGAAGTACAGTTGTCAGGTCCTCGAACCACATGAATGGCATGTTGCAACATTTCATATGGATGACTGTTCATTGCTGTCAAGTACTTTTTTTGCAATATACACTCATCTCTTAGCAATGATAAATTCATATTCAGGTCTAACTGACCTGGAATTCTAGTGTTGTTCCTTAAAACAATACTAGGTCTCTTCAATGTCTGTCCACTTACCTCATTTACGATGGTTCTTTTACTCATATCGAATTCTCGATCACATACCGATATATTTTTACTACACACATTAAGATTTGTGACAGTTACATTGTCCGTCATATTAAAGTCCAAACTATTACTGCACCAATAATCAGGAATCAAACCAGAGTATGCCATTTCCATCATGCTAAAGGTAATTGGTATAATAGTGGACAGATAACAGGCGGCAATTACCCTTTGGTACCATCCAAAGTCCCCGATATCTGTCAACAAGCTGTCCATATACATTTTACCCATTCTGCAAAAAAAAACAGAGAACAGGTAATTAAATCTATTTTGTCGTGCACGAAGCAGAGTATGCTCATCCTTTCTGGAACATCTGATACTACCTCTTTCGAGAGGTCCACTTTTATTTAGTTTCATTTCCGGGATTTCATTTCCACTACCCCAAAATCTAAGACCACTATCGTATAACATAATATTATAATCTTCAAAATGAATTGTATGAGTATATATGAAGTAATATTGATATTAATATTAATTATACAATTATTCATGAGAAGTCAATCGGCAACTTCAGCTTTAAACAGCAGTGCTGCTTTTCAGCTTCGTCTTAATACGCAAGCACGAGAAAGCTCGTGAATATGACGTTTGTCTGTTAAGGCGCGATAAACCAAATACTGAATTGTATCTTGCTTTGACCTCTCTCAGGCGTATAGGCAGGCTGAAGAATGACTGAAATCTGGGTACATACAACATACATGTATGTATTTTCCACCGAGAGAAATTAGGAGATATGGAAATCATTCAATGATGATTGTCAATAATAGAAGTTTTGAAAGGGCCATAATTATTAATTGGTATGGTGTACAAGTCCCAAAGTCTGTTGTTAACATTGAAGGCATTGGCAAATGTACTATGTTGTAAGTCTGCAAAATGCCAACACATAAAACCTGTGTGATCCACAGACGTAAGCAGATTTACCGCCTGGAAATTAATTAACTAGCCGCGTGTATCTGATCACCTAAAGGTACGTGAACATCCTAGGTTTTGGGTTTGGATGGCATGGTGATCAAGAAAATTATGTTGCTTTTGTTCGTGGTAAAGTTTGTTAATGGTTTTACTTTCTGTCTGCATTGAAAGTTAGTGTTCCCTACACTATTTGAGGAGTATCTTTAATGTCTTTTCAACGTTTCCTACGGTATTAATTATATTTCATAATCAGGGCAACATTGAGAAAATAGCTATTAAGATACAGAGACTGATATACTTTCAACGATTTATCATCTAAACAATTATCAGATTTACAATTTACATCAAATATGATACCCCATTTATTCTCTCAGTAACATCTTTTATCGGATGTTCTTTTTATATACTTCTTTACTTCATAGTTAATAAGTAGACTTTTATATCTTAAAGAAACATCTTATGTTCTTAAGTATCACACAGACGATGCAGTGTACATGAGGTTTCCTTTAGTTTGGAATCAGTTTTTTATGTTCAAAGCTTACACACTCACTGGTGTGCGAAATGGACCCCATTGAGTCAAGTTTGATAATTGTCTCCGATATCATCATCCGATCAGAATTATTTTCCTTTCAATTACATGATCCGCACGTAATTATCAGCATAGTGGAAACATCTTTTTGTCTCCTCGTGTGCCCGTATAGACTGTTCGTGTGCCCGTGCTTTTGTCATACAAAAAATCATTACAAACGCAAAACTAAAATCTTTCTTGTCGCGTATTCACTTAAAAGAGTAAAAATCATTCAAGAGTCACCCATATGTTCTTAATTTTTAACCTTCTTATGTTTTATATATTCGTAATACTTTCATCAAAGACAAAGGCGAACATGTGGTAAGGGTGTGTTCAGTCCATTCCAATGTCCAGTTATAAAAATATACAACAAATAGCCCTCATTTCAGTTTATAATATGTGCCTGTTACATAATTATATTTGTAAAGCCAAGTGTAACAAGGTCATCTCTGGGCTGTGGGGGTAATGTAGAGTATGATTTGATGGCTATGCTTTGCGCGTTCACACAATGACATCTTTTCGCATGAGATGATTGTTTACCGCTCATCGACTGTAAAGCAGATAGGAAGGTAAAGTTTTCACGACGTAAAATGTAATATCTGATGTTATTAACATCTAAGAATTATGCTGCGATTTCCAGGATATTTACTTTATATATAGCAGTTCAAAAGTATAACTGTAAAAAAATTAGTACCCGTTAACCAAAAGTCTAGTGGGCTTCCCTCACGAGAAGTAACATCAGGTGTTTCGAAAAGAGTAAGCTTCTTAAAGTTAAATTTCAAATATTCACAACAACCAAAAAAATAATTTAATGATAAGATTTTTAAATGAATTTTTTTTTTAAATTGAAACAGAAATAAAGGTCAGTAACTACTCTTGATGATCGGAGAAAAGAAAACATACCTTAAACCCCTTTTACAGGTTCAACACAACACGACTACTCCCGAACTGTTCACAGAGCACTTTAAGTTGATTGTATAACTATTTTGGCACGCCTCCTGACATGTTATATAAATTTTACATTTAAATGGGGTTTTTTGAAATGTCATTTTAGTACTCTAAAGAGCATAAGATAATTTTACATAAGATAATTTTTATCCTCTAAAATTCAAATCGCCTACTTGGTATATTTTTTCATTATCGTGAAATCAGGCATTTCTAAATGAAAGGTAATATAATACGGGTCTGTTAATTATATAGCACAGAGCTTCTATCTCGATGTGTTATATACACATAATATTAATGAAACATTTCGTGAACCTTAATGAATTTAACTAGTTCAAGTAAGTTAGTTTCGTGAAGTTAATACTGGTAATAAAATGTTTTTCGATTGAATCAAGTATACATTCTGCAAACACTCAAGGCTTGAAATTTTCGTGAAGTTCTGAATAACTGAGAGACTGAAGAAAAGCAGAACAACAATCGTTGAATTATATAGTTGAATGATAGGTTTGCTCCGAGTCCCCCAATGGATTGAATGTAATGCGAGTAATATTTAGGCTATTTTCTTAGTGTCCATCGACTGAATGTTGGGGATTGAATTCGAATATCGATGTTACTTCTGCGCTTCAAGACTCGCGAATTGTCGTTATCTCTTGGCAATATTTATTCGAAAATGAAGATTATCAAGTTAATGGATGAACTTTTAACTTGAGTTACTGGTTCTAACATATAACATTTGTATATTATATGCATTAAGGCCAACGACAGTCATGCAAGATTTGACCATGGTATAATTTGTAAACTATCAATGACTAAAAAAAGAATATCCAGACTGTTCGGAAGTCTCAATGAACCATCCTCAGCATTTCTTTTGGATATGAAATGAGGGGAGTTTGACGTTCTTTTACTGCACCTGCAGTTTGCAATAAAGGACGTTTTTCCAAGACTAAACAGTCGGGAGATCCTTAACAATTTCTTCAGGTTAGCGAAGCACTAAACATACATGTCTACCAACTTTCATTTTCATTCAAATGTTTTATAATTAAGATAATAAATTTCAATGATTGTGACTGATGATGAAGACGAATACACCGTACGGGTCCGAAACAAGAACGATTCGTTTCTATTTTTTTCTAATGTATCGATCGATAATCCGGACAAAATATATATAGACCGTATCTCGTCCAACGGCTTAACACGGTAAAATTTCTTTCAGATTGTGACTGTGTATTGTTAAGTTACTTTTTTAAACTTAAAATGTAATCGACGATTTATGCTTTATTAGAATCCATTAGACTGTAAATACGATTGGTTATGTAAACCAATGTTATGACGTAACCCAGCGTGACAATTGGAGGCTAATTTGAAAATGCTAGTAAATGTTACTCACGTTTTCGACATATTTGATGTTCTAGTCTCATATAGTACTATATTCCTGAACTAATTCTACTGTGGTCAATAAACTCGCGCGATAATAATAGTCGGTCAGTGGCTATAAAATATCTCAAGAAACATGCCTTCTGGTACAAACATTGAAGGTGGATTGAGCTCTTACATGGCTCGGTGATCGAGAACAAAGTGATAAGATAATCTTCGAACTTTTCCTACCTAAAGGAGGGCCTGCTGATTCGGAAACCTGATACCTAATAAAATTCTTAAGTTTTGTTTCTGCATATTTTGACTAGTATCATATTACACATAGCTATGACCGATACATTTATTAACACTTCGTATGATATTCAATCATTCCATAATACTTCATGGTTACTGTTGAAGTTAAGGTAGGGCTCTGCGCTAAATATGGAAAATACCCGGAGGCTAAGAACAGGTCAATCTATTGTACCTTCTTAGTGAGGAATTTTGTTTTGAGTACAATGTGCAATATAAATTCGTATCTGATCTGTCAAAGATTAATGGACCATTATATTATCATTCTGCTTTGTGTTGGCTATCTATTTCATTTTCACAAATCCCATATATATTGTCTCTGAATGAAGGTGTGTACAAAAGACAATGTAAGTGGGTTTAGGCACATTTGTTATGTTTCAGTACGTGAAATCTACCCATTGTTCAAAAAGTACTCTGTTAAGATAGAATGTCGCTGTGAGAGTTCATTCTGGAGTGGTGTTTAAGAGCGAGACAAAATCAGTATTTTGGCTGATGAGATCGGATTGGAAACATGTCAAGACTGCCTTGTATTCCTTTGACTCCCAGTTTATTCCCAGTTTATTGTCAGCAGATGAAGGTATTTCTAATAAAAGCATATCTCAATCTGCCAACTGCTAATTATTACTAGTGACCCAGCATAACTTATCACGGGTGTGAATATGAATATATCGGTTGGCCCAGAAAAAACGATAACAATTCAGGATTTTTCATAAAGTAGCTATGATCATAATATTTTGACATAATATTAGACATCTCTTCACCAAATTACAGTTTTATAGGTTGAACCACTTTGAAATCTCAGCTTTATCAAAGTTTCTTGTCAAAAATTATAACAACAAAATAATAACCAGAATTTCACATCTTTAATTGAATTAATGCTCAATATAGCCACTATTTTTAGCAAATATCGCCTGAATTCTTTTATTCCATGATAAGATATTACCTGTCCGGTTTGTTCAAGTTCTCTCTAATTCTCTCCTTCAGTTCCTCCAGCTTTTCCATTGCTAATTTTTTCAGCTAGAGAATTGAAATTAAAAGTTTGGGGTGGCATCCATGAAATACTCACAATTACAAAATTCAGAAGGTAATTTTGTTTTGGCTGAAAATGTCGTCCTCTTTAGGCATTTGTTTAATTAAAGAGGAGAAATTACAGTATTTACTTTCGGCATTTTATTTGTTAAAGGAATTTTAAAAAGGGTGTTTTTTCAAAATGTTTCTACCTTTACATCTATAATTTGGTGTAAAGATGTCTAATATGTCTAAAAATATGAGGTCTAAATATTATGATCATAGCTTTGATACCTTCTGAAAAATCCTGAAATTAAAAGTGTTATCGTTTTTAATGTGCCACTCTATAGGTTTATATGAAGCGAAACCAAAGATTAAGGAAGAAAATTACTCGTTTAGTAGATATTTGATTATGAGAAATAGATTTTGATTGGACCGCATGAACCAATCATCAATAATTTCACGCAAAACTCAAGTTATGTTTTATCTAATACAGCAGTTTTCTAATGTGATGATTTAAATTGTTACTTGTTCACCGGATTAACGTATAGAAACTATAAAAATATAGTTTAAATATAATAATATACACGTGGGAATTAAATCAGAATCTACCTCAAATGCATTCCTTAGGCTTAGGATGATTATGAAGACAGGAATGTCATGTGGGTCTCTTATCTATTAGAGCATACCATTTTTCCATTTTCTAATTAACATGGAATTTAAACGTTTGATGCACACGAATTTGGTCGACCTTCGTGGGAAACCATCAGGTTCTCAGCTACTATGCCTCGTCAGTTGTAAGTACTATCTACTGCACTATCACCTCTTTTATGTAAGGCATAATAACTACAACGCGTTATTCTAATGATCCTTTCATCTCTACAATATTATTTCAACAAGATGTGAAAGACAGAGCTGCTATTGATCGTCAATAATTGTTCTCAAAATCAGTTTTATGATTTATAACCGAATTTCAATTGTGAAGCTGAACACTTATTATTGGGATCAAAATACAAACTTTAATGTACTTTAAAAATTCATTTGATTAAACAGTAAGATGTAACTAGATATTTCTACGACAAGAATGGTTCTCGGTGTAGGCCTAATCTTTACAATTTTCAAGATACTACGATTATTTTAATCCACGACGTCACATCGAATTTAAACTTCACTGTATCTGGTATAGCTAGTTGAATAGTCCGCATTGCTGGGATAGAAGAGAATGCCTTGCTGTTTAATCACTTTACGAAAAAACATAGGTAATTAGTTCAGAATGTTGCGTAAACAAGGATGAGACGAGGAAGCGCATGTGTCAGTATTATGTTGCTGTAGTTTTTTTTAAGTTTTCGGAAATATTAAATAGGCAATATCACTTAGAGAAATTAAACGTCCTCGGTCGATTGAAAAACATTCTATTATTCCATAATATGAATACGCTAGTGTTTAATATCTACTGTTAAATTATGTCTGATTGCCATGAAGCCACAAAAATTTGCACACTTCACAGTATCTAGAGGGCACTTTGCCCTATGCGGATGTTGGACCTGGTGAAATTAGTTAAAGCTATATGATGTATGTTAAAGCTGTATAATTTCCCTCTGTGATTCTTTTCTTCCAAGATATTCTCCAGACAGCTACCATCCTAAGGATATTCAATAAATCCAATCCGAATAGGGCGTTGCGAACACCACACCAAAGGTGGCCGATAATTTCTGTTCTAGCCATCCTATCTACCAAGTTTCCAAATACAATGACCACATTTTGCATCCACTTTCAAGCAGTTTCTGGTATAGACACCTTTCTCATTCCTGAGAAATCCGCCCTAAAATACCTAACCTCCTGTTAAAGAAGATGTGAACTTCAATATGTTGGTGTATTCCAATACTCATGTCTACTCATTTAGCTACAATAACCAAACCAAACCAAACCAAACCAAAAATCAGTTGATGAGGGAGAGTTTCTTCAAAGACTAATTACCTAATAGTCCAAATTCCAAAATAGTTTTCAATATATCAATTGTAGAGCGATATAGAAAAATTACAAACAGAACTTGAGTCATGTTGGCACACGCAGTGCGAGTATTTGCACTAAGTACTAGTCCACTTCAATAGGGACGCAGGCTGAAAATAGGTCAATTGTCTGAAGATCGCTTAGAGTGAAATATAGAGTAACATGATTCAGTTTCTGTTTTAATATTTTCTAAATACCAAGTATGTTAACACTGCGCAGCAGAAGTTAAACGGACCCAACATCAAGTTTGCAATGATAAGGTATATAGGTAACCCAGCGCAGCCAAATGCATACAACTCTAGGAATTTGATTCAGTTTATTGCATTGTAAAATAGAAACGTACATATCTAAAATATAAAGTGTAATTTATTGTTTTAACCAAATCAATGAATGAAAGAAAGCTAAAACATATACGGAATTTCTAATAGAATTCAGCCAACGAGAACTTGTAATGATATATAATTTAGCAAAACGAATAGGGCCAATCAATAGAGAAAATGTATGATTAATTATTAGAGGGTACAGGTCGACTTTGTGATTAATGTAAACTGACAGCAACTGGTATTTCATTTGATGCTTGTAACTGTCGGCAGTTAGTGGAATCGTGACAACGCTAGTCTTAATCGGCCTACGCACAGACGGTTGAAAGGCCCAATTGGCACCAGTTGTTAATGAACAACTCTCTACAAAAATTGATAGAAATGTACGAAAATCACATAATTCGTTCAAAAATATCTCACATGGAATTCATACTTTTCCTATTTCTAAAGATGTATTTTCTATATATGGCTGGGTCTCAAGAAGAGACGACTAATCTGTTTAACTTTCAAACGCGGATAATTATGGACACACATGGCTCAAATTTCAACGGTGAGCTATGAACACTATTACTGATTGGCTTAGCTCTATAGTAAAGTACCATGTATCTTTCCTTTTCTATATAACTTCACAGCCTTATACAAAAAACTGTATGTTTATATCACAGTGAAAAGTTAAAACATAATTGTTACTTAAGAATATCATGAAATATCTTCAAAAGAATTAAAATCCTAGAATTCGCAAAAATATAACGTTGGGAGATTACTCAACGTGACCGCTTGAAGGCCAAAAAAGTAAAAAAAAAAGAGCAACCGATCATCAAAATACTGTAAAGATCTAGACGCAAACGACAGATTTTTGTCCTAAACGTTATTGTTCCGTGACAAAATTCCCTCTCTTTGTCAAAAGAGAAATGTTTTTGAAAATCAAAATTGTTTGAATTCTGAATAAATGTTTGGGTACAAATGTTTTGAGTTTGTTTTTAGTTATTGCGTTTGAAGTTGCAATTTCAAAGGATTGAAAAAAAGCTACATGGAGCAATATTGAATTAAAATTTCAATAAAAAAGATCCTCTGGTATCAGTATTCAAAATGTAAGTAAAAAACGGTGTAAATAATTTGATGTTGGGCATAAATTGCTCGATATTTTTAATTGAAACCTTTTGAAGTAATTAAGAGACATATTTCTCTACAATTAGGCGTTTAGTTTTCGTATACATGAACACTAGTCAAAACAATAGCGAACACCTTTAAAATAGTTTTGGAGTTTTAAAAATTAACTGCAAGATACTTTTAAATAAAAAAATTCAAATAAGACAAGGGACACATTTCTCTCTCTAATTTGGTATATATTGTAGCTTTCGTTAATTCGAGCAGCTTACTTTCCCAACCTAGTATAAAAATCAAACTGTCATTGTTCCATCAACAGGATACTTTTAATTTTTCTAAACCAAGACATTATCTTCCGTGTGATATGTGCATATTTTAACAGATGCAATTAAACGCTATCATATGAAAAATATGTAACAAAATATAAACCCATCTGAATTGTGATCGTAGAGCAGATAAAAAATGGTTTGATGGACGAAAAATTAAAAATTTGCATAGTTTAGTTAACAACCTGAAGTCTTATAATAAAACATAATAAGACATAGATAGTAGACCATACTTCCACTGGAATTCAATGTATATATGTCATCAGTATATAGAATAGTAGCCCACCCTCCATCAAAATTTACAAAACATTTCGATAAATGGAACATAAAAATAACAGCAAAATTATTTATGTTCTTTTGATTTTTGAGGCACATCAATCATATTTACGCCATCACCATTGACGACGTACTTATCTTCTAGTTTACTGTTTTTATTAATATCAATAAATGTATCTGGTAATGCCTCGCCCCGTGTTTCAGGTAGAGTGAGTATTGAGCACGTATCAATTGCCATCAAAATACAAATAATTACATAAGGCAAATATCCTCCCTTTATAGCCTGAAAAATAGAAATTGAAATTCGAAAATAAAAGAGCGTTTGCCAACCTGATAGTTCGTTGAGTGTTTGCTTTGAGAGGACAGCCAACGTGCAAAGTTAAACTCTGTCCTACTAATCGTTAAAGTTTGCGGAAATAGCTATCGATATTCGTATCAATTTCTGAAATTTTACTTCCTGCTTTCCCGTCTATGATACTCGATTTTTTGTTTATATTCATACTATGTTATTTACTTATATACAACCAGCGTTTTCACTCCGAAGATACTTTTATCTAATCAAAGTGTCTGGTTAATTCATGTTCATCAGAATATAGAAATAATCTTAATCGGATTGGTTTTAAAGTGATACTACGTTTTAGAATTTACATAAAATTTAAGAATTTTAAACTTGGTGAATAAGAGCCAGTAGATATACCTGGTGTCATAAGTAACATAACAGGATCCTTATATAATCCGACAAATCCAAAAATCTTAGTAATTATCCATAAATATGCAATTAACTATTGAAAAACGCTTAATATCAAGATTAAGCATTTTTCAATAATTACTTAGTTTTATGAATTTTCCAATTTTCCAGATTTTACATGGATTCTGTTGTAACTTTATGACACCAGGTAAGTTCACTGATGAATATATACTCATATTGACCATTTCGAGAACTTTAATTTTATGTTCATTCTAAGACGTAGTATCACTTTAAACAAAAAAAGATCTGTTCAAGTTTGTATGGTAAAATTTGAATGAAAAAGAGTTTTACGTCCTAATTTCTTGTAGCTAAGTTAATGTTTGAAGTGTCACGCATAATGCTAAGAGAATACTCATGCTTTCCACTTACCAATGACATGACTTGAGAGGCAAATATACCACCAACTCTAGACACTGTACCAGCACAGCCAAATCCTAAATTCCTATCAACGACGAAAAGAAAATAATTAGTTCAATAAAAAGACAAAAAGAAACGATTTCGAATATATATGAAATAACGAGTAATTAAAAATTCTTTTAATGAGATAATGAAGAAAATGTTCAGTACATCATCAACGCTATGAAAATGACTTATCACGATCACAGTTTGCAGTTTAATCTAATCTAAGCCAATTATTATTACTTACCTAACTACCGTTGGATATAATTCAGCTGTAAAAGGTGTCATGCTTGACCAACCACTTGTTGAAGCAAATTTAGAAATCATTACACAAATATTGACATAATAGGCTTTAGAACTTTCTGGTGCTGTAAAAAATTCAAATGATTTCTCAGTAAGTCATCTTACGTTGCAGAGTAACATGAAAACTAATCAATTGATCAATGGGATTATAAAGAAGTTTTCTAAAAAATGTATGTGTATTGGGGACACTGATAACATCAAATTGCACCATTCCAATTTTTTGGTTCCTGCAATTCCTCTAAAACTAACTGTTTGATGACACTTATCGTGAAAAGGCTTATATTGTAATAAAGAATATATTTAGTGACGCCATCGAACACTTAGTTTTAGTGGAATTGCAGGAACCACAGACGGCTGATTGAAAATTGGAATGATGCAAATTGATGCTATCAGTGTCTCTGATTAACACACAAAATTCAGAAAAAAATTGAGAAATAAATGGGATTGTAACTGTGATCCATATACGATAGACTTCACAATTTCATACAATATAATATGCATACATGTAATAATAAAAGTGTCTTTAAATATAATTTCTACCCAAACGACATCTTTATGCTGCAAGTCAAATTAAAATGAAATTATTAGCATGCTGATGGATCATAAATGATTTTCTCAATTACTTTATCAAATTCTTAAAAGGAAAGATGAAATAAACAAACCTGTCTGGTATTGGCATTAAATCGTAACAAGTCTGAAAAAACGAGAATTTCAAAATACGGGGAAAATTTTATGTGCATCAAACATTAGTGAATTATTTATTTACAATCTGAAATATCAACATGGAATAAACTTTACGGTTTGTGAATTATATTTTCCAAACCGATCTATAAATGTGCATACCTGTTAATGAAGCTGTGATCGCCCCTAATGCACCAAGAGTTACAACTATATTAGCTGAGGCAACTGACCATCTTCTACCAAAGTTTTTCCTGAAATTAATAGTATCAAATTAATAGATTCGTAATTCTAAGGTGGAATGGTTGGATTTCTTGCGAAATATTGTTTTATATACCGTCTTCAGATGCGGAATTTGGAAAGTGTTTTGCCGGTTTTTTACCAAATTCGAAAGATAGGTGGCGATTAGCTACCCACAGGTACGATGATAGTTAATGATTGATTTGTATCTCCAGTTTCACAATTTCGACACGAGATCCAAGTAGGAAACCATCTGTACTAATTCTCAATGGGCCGAAATTTGATCTTGAACTCAATATATTTTGATTTGGTTGAAATAAATCACACTAAATACATTTCCGGTTTTATTTTATTCTTTCCTTCAGGGGTTTCTGTATGTGTTATCTTCCCTCTTGTTCTAGGATTTGGATACCAATGAGTGAAATAGGAGAAGAGTCTTTCATTATGAGCGGTCTGACTAAAAAGCACAAACAAGAGAAAACAAGCGCAAATGGCGGTAAAAAGAACTGAAAAGATGAATTTTATATTTCATCAATCGATATTGAATGACGCAGAAGCGATTTTATATGTCCACTATCTACTTTGGCCAAAACAGAAAACGATTTTACGTGTTATGAAATTGATTGTAATGAGGTTTCCAGACTAATTTTTGCCAGTTGATATGGATTAAGTATATTGTCAGCAAAACGACCATCCATAGACACCTCTCAGACACATTCAATGACTAGCTGATAATATATCCATTTAATTCATTTATTCCAAATGCAATGCAAGGACAGTTTCTGTTCACACCCCTCTTTATAACTATAAATTAAGTAATTACTATACTATCAGGTGTTAATCCTACATTAACTGATTGTCCATGAGATTCTCTCGAACTACCGATGCTAACATTCTTATTCAAATTTCAATTATTGAATCCACTTCATTTGTCCATAAATAATAATAATACTCTAATCGTAACAATCTGGTGTAAGATCTTATAGTTCTTTTAAGTGATCCAACCCCGACCAAAGCAGATTGAAATTTATTCAGCATTATTTTACGCAAGTAGTATAGACATCCTAACGAAGAAAAATGTGTGTGTCTTAAAACACACAAAAAGGAGAGAGAGTCCACAAATACTGTGACATAATAGTTGTTTAAAAACCTCTTTTCAATGTGGAGATTAATCTGAACAAGCCAACAGGTTCGATTTAACGGCTGATAATTCTATTATGAAAATGATATAGTTTACCTATTGATCCACAACAGCACTAATAATGAAGCTGGGATTTCGATGATTGACACCAAGAAAAAGTTGAGATAAAAATTACCAGACATATTCTGAACACCAAGTACTAAACACCAGTATACCACTGCTGACGTAAACCTACAATATCATTGAATTTGGAGTGAAGGATATTTCCAACGAATACACAAATGCCTGTAGACACTATTATCGAGCGGAAACCTTACAGATAAAAATGCAAGTCTTACTGAATGCGTATTCACGAGTTAATGAATACAAACATTTAATATACTGCTTCTGTTTATGCTGCAAATTGATTTTTGCCGAATTGGTTGTACAGCTGTTTGTTTGCATTATATATTTCATAGTCACACAAAGTAAATTTCAACAAGATAATTCAACGAGAATAGTTTTATATGCAATGGTTCATTAACCTGACGAAGAGTTTCAAAAACCCACCCCGGGTGAATAGTATTCTTCAGATCGTGTCAGGCCCGTAGCTAGAAGCTCGCCTAAAAAGAATTTTGCCTCCTCCCCTAATCCCCCACTGATACCCTGGACTAGCTACGGGCCTGTCAACAAGAGTCATCTACTCGAGTTTCCCGTAAAATCACTCTAAATGAGTAATAAATCTAAAGCAGGTAATTTGATATTTACTGTTGTTGTCTTAAAACAAAGTAGTAAATAGGCAAAGGTTATTAACGTAAGGAGAAGGGTGATATAGGTCACATTTGAACTTGGCTATCAAGTCGATGTCATAGTAACAATCCTCTCATCAAGTTCAAATGAAAGAAAGACAAAAGATATTTCAATTCTTTGTATGTATATCTGTGTACACTGAATTCCCACAATTGGCCAAAGGTTCTGATATTTAAGAAAACCTGAAATTGCATTACATTACTAAGGCAAATATTATTCAAGTTACCCCTTTTGGTACCCTTTTAAATAACACTTAGTTCTTTTTAGAAAGATATAGTAAAACACTGCATATCTGGAAGTCGAATGCTTAAATATATACTCATCTATGTATGTTTGAATGATACTCATAAATAATGCAATTGTAGTGAATCACTCAAATCATTAGACTGAAAGTTTTCTATACCAGCTAATAAGTCATGTTTTGCCATCCGGAAAAACAATAATTGATGCACCAACAATTTATGAAATTGTAGTCATCAAAATAGCAACTTTTGTTATCAGGATTCGCCATTCAGTATTGATTCTTGGCTAACGCTATCCTAGAAAAACCATTTAAAATCCTTGATGATCGTGGCATGCATTTCCGTAAACCTACAAATTAAATGCAGATTTTCAAGAAGAATAAAGGCCGAAACGAAATGTGTGTATCTTGAACTTACCATGTGTACCAGACTCTTATTGTTATTAACGCCATTCTTTTACCACGTAACAAATCTATAAACGTGTAACTTGAAAAATTACTATTCCGCGACCTCTCCTCTTCAGCAATTCTTTCTAAAATCGCTGTATTTGGTGGTGGTTGTTTATTTCTTTTGGCAATAAGATATGCTACTTTAGACGCTTCTTCTATCCTTCCTTTAACAGTTAACCAACGTATACTCTCCGGTGCAATGCTGAAATATTTTAAACAATTTGATAGTTAGTAGATTTATTTTGCAAGCAGTAGCCTTAAATAGAAAAATTCAAAGCAGTTCCCAATCATAGTTTACAATTTGTGGCAGTGTAATAGCTCAGTCGGTCTAATAGGTGATTTGCATCTTCGGGTCAGCAAATTCTGATGTCACGGCCGGTGTTTTTTTTTTATCTCAAATAATATTCTTTTCAAACCCATGATGCCAAAAAAACTTAACTACAACCATCTCTAAGGTCGGTTGCCAAAGTTGAGGCACTTGTTAAAGATAGTTTTCCTTATTTTTTAGTGTAAAATTAAGCAAACTATTCCATCAACCAATCATTAATGTCCATGTATGTAAAGTCTGGAAAAACAAAACAAGACTTTTTGACTTTTCTCCATCGGTCACTCATTTAAATTCTGCTGGTAATTATCTTCTAATTTAGCTAATTATGAATTATGGACATGCGAGACAAACTGGTATTTTTCAAAGTCAAGGATTTCGTATGTGCCTGGATCTATTTCAACGAAGAAAGAGTAAATATCGATTGAATATATTGGTTTGATTCATTTACTTTAATAAATTGTTAAGTATGTTTACTTTATTATAAAAGACTTACAAAAATCCAAACAAAACCGGAATGTTGACCACACAAATAAAGAATTCAAAATGGCGCCAATTAGGAAAGAGGTAGGTAACTAAGGCTAAAAACGGTGCTGCCACCGACCATACTGGATACGCGCCTAACAACGCCCTCCATCTTTTACCAACAAATTCAATTGAAGCAGGGAAGCTGACAACAACAGTAGCACCACCAACCATACCAATACCAAACCGCATAGCAGCAAAGAGTTGCCATGAATTAGAAAAGGCACTGACAGCTACAAAGATCAGATGCAAGAATTGAATGGTATAGAGACTGATCCTTCGTCCAAATCTATCTCCAGCGTAACCAATTCCAAAAGCTCCTATTAAGGCTCCTGTCATCTGGACGGTTGTTATTGTGAAACTGATCCATCGATTCTCACAAACCAGATCCCACTGAAATATACAAAATACGATGCCAGTTCAAAAGTAACATGCATGTTGTGTTATACGAGATAATAACATTGTATTCTATAAGAAATAATGTTTTGATTTTAATTTATCAAGGACCAAGTTCGTCAAGTTGTTTGCTTATTTCTATATATGGCAGGGTGTCTTCCCACATCGTCCCTAAACTATTCCCATTTCGCCCCTTTCCCATATCGCCCCTTTCCCATAACGCCCCCTTCCAATTTCGCCCCATACCCATTTTGTCCCTTCCCATTTCGCCCTTTCTTTTTCTATAATTAGACCACATAGTAAATTGTGATTGTTCCGATTTGAATTCCGGGAGCTGTAGGATAAAAGAGCAGGCTGGAATGTGCAATTGCTTTATAAGTGCATTGAAATATGGAAAGGGGCAAACTGGGAAGGGGGCAAAACGGGACAGGGGCAAAATGAAAAGGGGCTTAATAGGAAGGGAGCAAATTGGGAAGGGACATAATGGGAAGTGGCGAAATGGGAATGGGCAAAATGGGAATAAATTGGGGGCGAATTAGGGAGGGACAAAATGGGAAGGAGCGAATAGGGAAGGGGCGATATAGGAATAAACCATGTGGCAGAGTCTCAAGAAAGTCATCAACTTTCAAATGGGGATAATTCTGGACGCACATGGAATTGAAGGCTCAACGAAGGCAAATTGGGAAGGGACATAATGGGAAGGGGCAAAATGGGAATAAAATGGGGGCAATTTAGGGAGGGACGAAATGGGAAGGGGCGATATGGGAATAAACCATGTGGCAGAGTCTCAAGAAAGTCATCAACTTTCAAATGGGGATAATTCTGGACGCACATGGAATTGAAGGCTCAACGAAGGCAAATTGGGAAGGGACATAATGGGAAGGGGCAAAATGGGAATAAAATGGGGGCAATTTAGGGAGGGACGAAATGGGAAGGAGCGAAATGGGAAGGGGCGATATGGGAATAAACCATGTGGCAGAGTCTCAAGAAAGTCATTACCTTTCAAATGGGGATAATTCTGGACGCACATGGATTTGAAGGTGATCTTTGAACACTATTACTGATTACTAAGATTAATCAAACGTATGGTGAACCTGTCTCATTTACAATGGCAATCCCAGTGAGGTCAGATGTAAGGTAATAAACAATCATAAATAATCTAGCCAAGGTAGACTATAAAATACTCGAGTATAAATCAATCAAAACAACTTCTTGATATAATTTCCATCAAGGTGTAGAGCATCCACATTTGTTATTTTGTAGACGTTTTGAAACAGTTACATCGGTCTGGATTGCACAATTATACTGTGAAACATGAGACATCTTTTTTGTAGCGATTGAAGCAGTGTGAATACAGAAATGATACAATTATCGTATTTTAGCTAAAAGCTTCATAAAATGCTGATTTACGATTTACAAGATTTACAAATTCGTGGCATTTCTTGCTCCCGTACTTAACGAAACAGATCAAAAGTAAACAGATTGGTGAGACTAGTTCGAACAAAATTATCCAGCAATATTAAATAAGCCACTACTTTCTTTAGAAAGTTCAATTTATTACCGTGATAAAGGAATGTTTAGAAGTTCATGTTCATAATGTTTGAAATCATATAGGATCTACACAAGAGGCAATTTGACAGATTTCTGCAACTAATAAAATACAATTCGATCCGTATAACAATGAGTTGCAATTAAGTTGACAAAGTGAAGCTCTTGCAAAGTGTCTAAAATTCCCATCGCAGGGCAAGCTGTATGTAAATCATAATTAACCATCGATCTCGTTAGGTCGCAGAAAGGTAATTGAACAAATAAAATTGCGTAATCTGAAACAGGTTTTGGCACGAATAGGTTTTTAGGCTCTTTTCGTGTTAGGGTAGACGTGTTGCCATTGCGTGATTGATTTGAAGAATTTGTCTTTTATCTTGTTGGTAAGTGGCGTGGGTTAGTCTAACCCTCCCTCCCCATGTTTTGGGCTATCGGGGTTTGAAGTACATATTTATAAAGCCTAATTGGCTGTAATTTTCAAAATATTCAACAAGAGAAATTTTGGAGATCCAATTGCACAAATATATTTTATATGAAAGACCTTTCGTTAATCAGTCGATTTCATTATTTCTACATTATAATCAAATATTTTCTGCATTGTGAGTTTTTACCGTCATGAATATCATTAATGAATATTAAATCTCATTATACTGACAAACCGATTTATTAAAAAAAAAAATGCTGCCAACTGTTGTTTGCTAATATAAATTCATAGAGATAAGTACAATCTATTTGTATTTCGGGGAAGGGAGGGTTTGATTCTCCCAAAGCCTGTACAAATAGGGTGGAGCAGACACTTTATTTAGAAATTAGGATTAAGGGTCTTGATATTGGGTTTTCTTCTGTTCTTATTCTGATCTGAAATTAGAAAAAAAAGAAGTATAATGTCTGTTATGTACTGATTGTTTTTAGTTTACTATGAACAATATTATCATTTAAGTTCTTATTTTTTGAATATGCAACTATCATTTTCTGCTTATAGACATGGGGGAATTTCTCTTGAAGGCTCTTTTAGTGGGCATGAACTATCTTGCTTGCTCGATTGCTGGTTGTATTGAACGGGACAACAAAGGGTGCTATGCTTATATTATGATGAATATTTAGTCCTATAGGTAGGTCTTGCTGTATTCAATGTCTCAATCCAATGGGCTTCCCTAGATTGACGGAATTTGGTAGTTTCATTTTCGGGCAAGTCAATTTCTATACGATCAATTGGGATTAGGGTGAGATCGTCTATTGAATGGTCGTCGAGATTGAAATGATTAGAAACAGGCTTGTCTTTCTTTAATTTGATGTCCGACCTATGAGCATTAAAACGGGTTCGTAAATTATTCTTAGTTTCTCCTACACATTGTTTGGGACATTTCTTGCATGGAATTAAATATATTACATTCGAATGTTCACATGTTAGATGTTCCTGGATCGGGTACCTTTTATTCGTAGAGTTGCTTACAAAATAATGAGTTTCTGATATAAAGGGACATGTTTTGCATCTACTGGACAAGCATGGAGCACTTCTATAACCTGCAGTTTCTTTGAAAATTGGTTTCGGTAAAATGGCATAATGTTTAGGATTATTCAGTCGGTTCTCTGCTTCTGAAACGTAATCCTCCCTAATCAGATTGACAAAACATGAACCTTTGTCACTCTTTTTAATAACAATGCTATCGTCTTTCTTAAGTAAGTTTAACGCTTCACGTTACACTCGTGTGAGATTAGGCTTTTCGTGTGTTATGGAAAGGTTCGCTGTTTGGCTATTCATACTCGCAAATGCTTTTAATATTTCAGGATGGATGGCGGCCTGAAGGGGGTGTCCACGTGGATTTAGAAGTAAACATTGTTCTAGCACCATGTGGGAGGTGGTTTCGAAAAAATATGTGCAGCTAAGATTTCGTTGAAATCGTTTAATGGATGGTCGGAGATAATTTAAGTTAGCTATCTTTGGTGTGGGAATAAACTTAAGTCCACGGTCTAAGATTGAATGCTGAAGGGGTGTGAGAATTTTACGGCTCAAGTTAACTACAGTTTGGCCTAGCGGTGGCCTCTCAGTATTTTTATCCCCAGTAATTAGTTTAAAGACTTACTCGATGCTTGAAGCTGGTGTATCCAAAACAAATAAATGCTGTTTGATGTTTCTGGAGACCAATGAAGATTATCAACTGGTTCGAATTCTTCTTCGTAGCGTGGTAAGATTGTTGCGCTGTTGATACTGGACTCCATCATCATGTCGTTGAGGGTGCTGAGGTTCTGTTATGCTTTCTTCGAGATTTTATTTGAAATGATTTGTCCTTGGTTTGGTGATAATACGGTTTGGTAGCGGATATAATGGTTGTCAACGTTGTGATTGGTACTGGTTTGGTAGTTGTTAGAATTGTAGCATTGGGAACTGACTGGGATCTGGTTAGAGGGGGGGGGGAGGTCTGGATACACGTCTCGACTTGGATGGAGACTGAGGGGTGGTTTGCTGGTCCAAAAACGCACAGAAGGAAGAAAGGTTGGCGGATCCTGGATCACGTGGTGAAGATTCAGACGGTGTGGAAGGGGAAGACGAGTCTGGAAGAGAAGGGGAGTGCGTTTACCTATGTCTGCTGGACTAGGAGTAGGTTAACTTCGGGCTCGTTTAGGGGCTTGATTCGGCAGCGTGGTAGCTCTAGATGGTGCAGGTGTAGTGTCCATTTCAGTTGGTAGAGATATGGTTACTCTGGTTTTTGTTTCGTTGATTGTTTGGTAGAATTTAGTGATTCTTGAGCTTGAGTGAGACGTTTCCCATAGGAGCGACAGGCCCAGGACAAGGCATGAGAAACGATGCGGTCGACGGCAGGTGATGATAAAGACTTGGTACGAATGGTGGTCAGCTTCTCTTGAAGTGTGGATTGGTAATGGTCGATCAGGACCTGCGTAACCTTAGAGAGCCATGTCCGATTAAGGGATCTAATATTCGCGTCGACAGCTGATGTTTTCATTGCTGGACGGATAAAACTATCCAACTCAGAGACTTTGCGTTTGAAGGTAAACGCTGGTTGACCTTGCTGTTGAAGGGTAAGGATTGCCAAATGATGGAGGCACTGCAAAACTTGGAAGAACACCTTCACAAAGGGTTCTTCCTCCTTATGAGTGGGGACTGGTTGGCGTCGGTGGGCTGGTAGTCGTTTCAGTTGTTGGTCAGGTCGATGGTTACCTCTGGATTGGTAGGCTGTGTTTTAGGTAGGTCGACGATGGGGTGGGATATAGCTGGATGGGTTGGTTGGTGGTCGGCAATTGGTAGGTGGTAGAGGTCGATGGAAGACGGCCGTTGTAGGGTACGTGATACTGGTTTGGTTGACGATTAGTATTTCTATGTCTGAATTCTTGCCAGTGGTTGTTGTAGTTGGGGAGCATAATGGAAATAACTTGAGGTTAGAAAGGGAATGTACAGCGGATGTAACAGGAGGAAACTGTATATGGCAATTGACACGAACCGG